CACTGAGCCACATCCCAGCCCTATTTTGTATTTCATTTAGAAACAGGGTCCCACTGAGTTGGTTAGTGCCTTGATTTTGCTGAGGCCAGCTTTGAAATCTGGATCCCATTGCCTAGCCTTACAGGCCACTGGGATTCCAGGCACATGCCACCATGCCAGCTTAACAGAGTAAGTTTTAAAAAAAATAGAAGAAAGACTCGTGGAATAGACAAAGGGGGATGAAAGGAAGGGAAGAGGGACAGGATAAGGAAAGAGAGTGGAATGGATCTGACCTGCATTTCCTATGCACATATATGAATATACAACAGTGAATCTCACCATCATGGATATTCACAAGACACAGATTTTAAAAAATACTGTAAGTAAATAGCAGAAAGATCAGTAGAGTGGAAGGAAGAAAGGAGGATGGAGGGTGAAAGGAAAGGGCAAGTACTGGGGACTGAATTAGAACAAATTATATCCCATGCTTTTATAATTATGTTAAAATGAATCCTATTGTTATGTATAACCAAAACAACCAACAAGAAATTTTTAAAATAAAGTAAGTTTTAGACTATCAAATGCTGCAAGAGATTACTTTTTATAAATCTCTGCTAAAACACATACTTCAGGTTGGTTTATTTGATGATAATTCCAACTGCTTTCTTACATTGCTGAAGTTGGAATGCTACACACACACACACACACACACACACACACACACACACACATATATATATATATATATATATATATATATATATATATATATATATATATATATAACATATTTTAGACCCTTCTGTACCTGATCTGCATGTGACTTATGTTCTGGCAAGAGATATGCTCACAAAAATTTTGAAGCCAAAGTGAGTCATGAGAAGTGGAAACCGTGTCAAGGTCTAGGTGCTCTTCTAGAGGACACTGAGTTGGAGGAATAGAGTTCACTGGCGGCTGCAGCAGAGATTCTGCCAGCCTTAGCACTGAATGATGGCGGTGAGAGCACTTATGGCTGTACTGCTTCTGTTTGTACAATAGTCCAAATGTCATTCCCTAATGACCCTGAAAATTCTGTTTTTTCTCTGCTATCCTGTAATAAGGTGTTTTTAGATTTAAACTAGTCAAAATGGCTTGTTTTCTACAACAAAGAACAATGATTAACAAACAACTTGTTCCACAAATGGTGGCAGGTACAGACTTTTAGAATCTGGACTTAGTTATTTCTTTTCCAGGATTTGAAGGCAATGAGAATAGGATTAGCACAGATTTCCCATGGCATGCAATGACTAAGCAGTCACCATTTTACATTGCCACCAACCATAAGGGAGTCAAGCGATAAAGGGAATTTTGGCTTCATGAGCTTATTCTGTGGTTAGTCCCTGAGTTGCTAAATGTAGAGTGGGAATACTTAACCACTGGTGAATCTACACATGAACAGTTAGAGCAGAGTGCCAAGCAGACACCCCCGAAGCATCTTCTCTCCGTGGATTAGTGAGCCAACAGCAACATCATATCTTTGGAAGAATCCCAGAGACTGGTGCCTATATAAGTTCTTGAAAGGTGCACAGTTGGTGATCCCTCCTACAGTCCATTCAACTCATCTTTTTGGCCTCAATCTAAAACAGAAGGGTCTTAGAGCACATGCATAGGACTGACTCAGAAAAGTATCCAGTTTCTCAGCAGAAGATAATGGAGCAACACTAGTAAGTAGGATAATGGCTCTCCCTGAAGATGGTCACATCCCAATGCCTAGAACCTGTGAATATGTCCAGGCAAAAAAGAATTAGGTTGGAGGATGGACTGAAGGTTGCTAATCAGCTGACTTTAAAATAGAGACATTATCCTGTGTTTCCCAAATGGGCTCAATGCAATCACAAAAGTCCTAAAAAATGAGGAGGAAGGGGCAAAAGAAGAGAGTCAGAGAGAAATGTGATGATGGAAGAAGTTCTGACATGGTGCTGCTGGTTTTGAACCTAGAGGAAGGGGGCCAAGAGCCAAGGAATGTGAGCCTGTGCAAGCTATCAAGGGCAGGAGAGAGGGTCTACCCAGAGCCAACAGACGGTAATGCAGCCCTTCTGTGTCAGACTCCTGATCTGCCTACAGAACTATAAGATAAGCAATTTTTGTGGTGTAAACCTCTAAGGCAGTGGTAATGAATTATGGCAGTAATATAAAACAAATACAAATGCCTTCAAAATTGTGAAAAAACATGATTTTCAACTCAGTATTCTACACACTACCAATTAAATACAAGTTAAAATTAAACACATTTACAGACAGATCAGCTCTCAAAAGAAATGAGCACCGATGCACCTTTCTTTGGGATAATGCTGGAAGATGTGATCTTCCCAAATAAGGGAGTAAACCAAAAAAGAGAAAGACAACGCTGCAGAAGCTAAACTAGCTTTAACGCTGGAGAGGGCAGCAGGCAGGGAGGACAGGTGTTCTGCAGGAGGAGAGCAGTCAGAGTGGAGCCACTCAGGCAGCTCAGGAAGTCTGAGGGGACCAAGCTCGGGAGCTGGAGAACACTTAGGTCATGTGCCCATGTCACAAAGCAGTTTCGACTATTTTTAACACCAGAAAACAATTAGCGGCAGTGATTTAGAAAACTAAGCCAAAGCAAGTTTTAACTTCAGAAAAACAAGGTTGTTTTAAAAAGGAAAAATAATTGTCATGTCTTGGTTGTCTTAGCAGTGAACTCTAATTGCATGTTCTAATAATACAGATGTAAGTGGATTGGAAGAGTACAGGGAAGAAAAGTGAAGGCCTGGACCTCTCTCTAGGTCTCCATATCCATTGGTTTGTTGTTTTTTGGTTGGTTGGTTATAGACTTCAGGGGTGCATAATTGGATTCTCTATAACCTTGATCTGTGGCATGCTCCCTTTTGTCATTGTTGAGATGGAGTATGGTGTGTTACCCAAGCTGATCTCAAGCTCCTAGGCTCAAGCAATTCTTGTACTTCAGCATCCCTAGTAGCTGGGACTATAGACTCCTGCCACCCATGCCTGGCTTCGTGGCACATCCTTCACATTGGTCAACACGTGACCTATTTTTAGCTATCTGGTTAGTTATTTGATTCATTACTTTTAATACATAATAAGCATCCATGAACCTATTGTCCAAAATAAAAGCTGGACAATTATCTGTATCTACCTTGTGGTCCCTACCCTACCCTGACACCAACCAGTACCCCAGCCTGCCATAATCAATATCCTAAATCCCATGCTTATGATTCCTTTGCCTTCTTCATAGTTAAGCTGAGCATCTTAAATTCATGACCAATCTGAAGATAGGGTTCCTGCTGGGCTGGAAATGGAAGCAGGGGAGGCCCTATGAAGTTCAACCCCTCTGTCCTCATGAAGCAGCTTAGTAGCTTATTCTCCACAATTCAGGTTATGATGCCTCAGAAAGAACACTGATCCCAGGGTTTTCTCACATTAAATACCACTTTTTTGTTGTTTGTTTTTTTTTAAAAGGCTCCCAGCATTGCATTTATTTCTTATTCTTCTTGTGTTCCTTTCCCTAACTACTCATTGAAATGAAAGGAAATTTCAGGGGAGGAGTACATGGAAATGCTATCGGTCATCCTTCACAGCCTGGGAGGCTGGCTACCATGGCTACCATCTTCAGGCCACACTCTAAGACATACATGTTTCACCCATGGATGCTCTAAAATCCCGGGTCTTATCAGATTCCTCCTGGATCCAGACATTCTGGAAAGGCTCCATCACCATAGAGGCTCTGGTAGCACAGCAAAGGTTAGAAGCAGTAAGGGGTCATCTGAGTTCTGTTTATGTTATCTGAAGACCTTGAGGCCCAGGCTGGCTATTTTCCTTGGCAACCTACCATGGTCTAACAGGCACCAGCAATGTGAGAGTCACTTAGGAGCTTGCTTGGAAGATGATCTTAACCTAACAACTCATGAGGCAGCCATGTAACTTTTCTAGTACTAGAACCATGGATTTATTGACCACTGGGCTACAGGAGCCTTTGAGGCTCACCTAGTCAAGCATTTCCCAAAGTATATAGCTCAATCACTAATTATTAAGATGGTTAATAGATTTTAGATTTTTAAGATGGTTAATAAATTTTGGAGGATAAAAAAGTTATCTTCTAATCAAGAAAATTTAGAGAACACTGAATTAAAAAAAAAAAGTAAGATTCTTTTCTGGGGCTGGGATTGTGGCTCAGCAGTAGAGCACTCGCGTAGCACGGAAGGGACCCAGGTTCAATCCTCAGCACCATATACAAATAAAGGCATTGTGTTGTGTCCATCTACACCTAAAAAATAAATGTTAAAAAAAAAGATTCTTTTCTGCATACTTTCTCAGAACCTAATGTCCAAGAAGGTAACTTGTTTCCTATTTAGATGTGTGCAAGTTATCTAAGTTCGCTGAGCCTCAGAAGAAATATATTTCTATATTTCTGCAATATAGAAATAATAATGCCCACTCTGAAGGGCTACTGTGCCTGTGAATGAGATAATGAGCTCAAAAGCCTTTAGCATGGTACTGAAATAGGAAATTTCAACAAATGTTAGTTCCCCTCTACTTCTTCTATGCCTTCCATTTTTCTTCTAATTTTCCTCTAAGTTTAGCAAATTACTCCAATTAACAACTGTCTGTGAAACTGTTTAAAATTTATTTTAACAGATGCTTTGGATGGCATCCGGGTAATTATGTGTGCAATGAAGGCTCCCACGCAGCTCCCCTGGCAGAATAGTGGGACCCCAGGCCCAGTGTGGCAGATCACAGTAGGCACAGGGAAGGTGGTGCCCACTGCACACAGAGAGTGGGAGAATCACTCTCCAGGCTCCAGTGGCAGCTTCACCTCCTCCTCAGTCACCAAGGAACAGATGGAGTTTGGGGCTAAAACATGCAGCACTCGGCTGACTCAGAGGAGGAAGCTCTGGATCAGGAGACAGAGGCTTCTCAACTGGCTGTGTCCCCTCTTAATGCTGGACTCCTTCATCTGAGATCCCAGGCTTTGGGGTAGATGAGTTCCATGCTCCCTTCCTGAATCCATGTTGATCCCCATTTTAAAGGTTACCAGGTGTGACAGAATCACCAACCCAAGTGGCACAGCCTCCACACACACACACAAGATATTTTATTGAGACTGGAACAATTTACAGTGAAGCATTCTGTATATCACACTGAGAAAACTCAAGTTTTACAAATTTCACGTTCACAATTACAAGTCACTGTTTGCTCTGAGGACCACAGGAAACACACGGAAAGGGGCAGACAGGTGACAACAGGAGACCCAGACTTAAGGGTTTTCTCATAACTCAGCAGTATTTCTAGCCACCTTCAAAGACAAGGGGATGAAGCTGTCCCTATCCATGAGTCCAGAGCAGGGCACACTTTCTATATCCCTGCTGCCTCTTCTGGTTCTGGTTCATAGAATTTCTATTGGCAGCATGAAGAGGGACTAAAAGCTGCTTCCTGACATCACAGACAAGAACAAACACAGGAGCCATTTAGCCTGAAAAAACTCACTTGGGGATCCGTTTGGACTTAGAAAATGCTCTCAGCCCCCATGAAAGTCATTTTTTAAATCCACTTTTCAGAAAAAGATGATTGTTAAATTTTTTTTTTCTATTTTGAAAATGTTCTAACATCCTCATAAATAGACCAGTGTAAGAAACTCTTGTGGTTCATTATACAGAAGCAGATGATGAAACCAAGTTCAGTTTCAATTAACTGCCTGGAGATATAAGTGAATCTTGGCCAAACCCTTCTCCCTTAACACTGTTTCCCATTCAACTCCATCTGCATGCTTCCCTTTCAGGATTTCTCCAGGGCTGGTAAAAAACCTAAACCCAGCATGACAGTAGCAATTGTTCAGGGCTAGAGAATTAAGCTCAATTCCGCCTGACAAGTCTCTCTCTGAGTTGACACTGCGAGTCAAGTCAGGACCAGACGGAAAGTGACAAAAACATTCAGTCTCTGGAATGAGATTTTTCTGGCAAGTGGGCCCTTAAGGAAAAACTTTCTTTAAGGATACCATAGGTTTTTGGAAGTGACATGTGAATTGCCAAGGTGATGATGACAGTGAGTCTTCTTTCAGAAACTGGTGTGAAAAAAATCTCATTATTCAGACAACACAGAGAAATGGCCTGTCTAGACAGCTTGGGTTTATGAAGTGGCTCAGCACAGTTATTTCCAGCATATTGGAAAGGCTGTTCCCTCATTTCCTGTGAAAACAGAACAACATTTCACCCCCTTTTGTTTCTGTGTGATTGTAAGAAAAAAGGAATTATACCTCATGGCTGTGTCTTATCTCCTGGATCACCATGATGACCACCATCTGGGGAGAGGTACCTTAGCTGGTGCGGGGCCATCGTTGGCTGCAAGATGAAACCAGTTCTGTATGCTTGGGGACAGTCTTCATTTGGGGTTCCTCTCTCACCTCTTCTTTGATTTGTCTGGACTACTCTTGGAGAGAGGCTCATGAGTACTCTGCTGCACCCCTGTTCCTTGTTGACCATTACAATCTAATGGAAACGTATAGTTCCGAATTTTAAAACTGCACACATGCATACATATACACGTCTACACACAAAGGGGAAAGATGAAAATAAATTCACAGCGTTAGCAGAGGTGATCACAAATTGATGGGATGAAAAGATGTTTTTTTTTCTTTGTGCTTTTCTGAATTTTTCAATGTGGAAATAATGATTTCTGTTTGTTTTAAGGAAACTAATTTGGTCCTTTCTTGTCATGTATAGAGCTAATCTACTGAAAAATTGTGATTTATCTTGGTCCAATGACTTCAGAAGGCAAGGCATGAAAATCTATACCTGCTCTAGCTTGCTAACATCTCACTGGCCAGCAAATCTGTTTTCAGCAGAGCTCTGTGCATGTGGGTCAGCTGCACCCAAAGGATGACTTCAAGTTTCCTCTGTGGATGCTCAGCAGTCAGAAGGGCTATAAGGTAGCTGCCCAACAGTTGGAGTCCATTGACTGATTCAGCCCCCATCTGAGCTGAGGTTGCCTTGGTTCTCTTGCTCAGAGATCCAGGGTGCTATACCTCATAGCATTTTCTAAATAGGAATTTATGAACAGATGTCTAATTGGTAATTGAATTTTAGTTTGCACTTCAAATGGGGCTAGAAGGCCAGGCAGTTTCCTAGGAACTCAAGAGTCCTACTGTTTCTGTAGGAACTTGTTTCCAGCACTGTGAAGATCATGCACAAGAGGATAGGCCATTTTCCAATCTACGCTGGAGGCAGATCCTCCCCTGCCTTCTCCCCACCTCCTCTAACTCATTGCCACAATGGGTTCCACAGATGACAGGTCTGTCTTCCCAGCCTGGAGTTGCGAGGAAGGCAAGAGGTTATTAGGTAGTGGAGCCCTCCGACCATTGCTCTTCTCTGTCCAAGCCACCCTGAAGGAGGCAACTGGGGAGGGTGGCCTGTCTTCCTGAGGCTTGGGGGGTCTTTGGCACATGCTCAGTAATGCCTTTAACTCTACCCTGAAGTTCTCATTCAGCCAGCAGTAGATGAAGGGGTTGTAGCAGGTGCTACTCATGGCAAACCAGTGGAAGGCGAAGTAGAGGGCATTGTTGGTGCGGATGACCTTACTGGACAGGAGGAGGACGTAGCAGTTGAGAGGGAACCAGCAGAGGGCAAAGAGGACCACCACCAGCATCAGCATCTTGATGGTTTTCTTCTTCTTGCGGCGCAGGGCCAGGTACTGCTCGGTGGTCACATCGCCAATCGTGTTACACAGCCACAGCTTCTTGGCCACACGAGCATAGGCCACGGAGATGATGAGCAGAGGGAGGATGTACAGCAGGATGAAGGTGGCCAGGTCCAGGTACTTCCAGAAGAGATCGGCTGGCTCAGGGAAGTCTGGCAGGCATAGGGAGCGCACAATGTCCTCACTGCAGGCAGGAGAGAGAGAAAGAAGGTGACGGGGAGGAGAAAAGATGGAAAGCCTTCACCCCAAGAGGCGCCAAACCCTCCCTCCCCTGGGCTCTTGGCACATCTGTCTGTTATAGCTCTTTTGACACTATAGTCTAAGTATCTGAACACGTTTCTCACTCCCCACAAGGTTGAGTTCCATAAAGGTAAGGAAGACACTGAATCTCTGACCCCTCTTAGTCTTGCGTTGTTCCTAGCCACGAACAAGATCTAATAGGTATTTGTTGAATGGTGAAACAGTAGTGTCCTTAAACTGAAAACTGATTCGTCCTTGAGGAAATCTTAGAATTTTCCATTGTACTAACTTCCCATTCCAAAGGGGAAATAAAATGACAGAAACAAATGAGAGGTCTTGGGAATGAGTGGGAAAGTCTGAACCAAGGAACTCATGTAAGCAGTTTCTATTTCATATAGAATGTACTCTGATCCTCTTCATATTTCTTAGTATGTCCATGTGCCTTGTTGTTCTTGTTATATGTAGCAAAATAAAAACTCCCTTTGCTCTTGTAGGGAAAAAAAAAGTCTTCCATGTGTGAAGGCAGATGGGGGGGGGGTCTGAATGTGGGTGGATCTGAGTGTCTGATTTCTTCCAATATCCTGGAATTCGAGAAGGGAGACTTTATCAATAATTTGAAAAATTGACCTTCAGGGCTTCTCTCTTTCTCTCTCTCCTCTCCTCTCTTCTCTTCTCTTCTCTTCTCTCTCTCTCTCTCTCTCTCTCTCTCTCTCTCTCTCTCTCTCCCTCTCTCTCTCTCTCGTCTGCTTTTGTCATAGAAGTAAGCAAAATGTGTCTTTCAAGGACACAGTGCATAGCCACTGTAGCAGACACTGGGAGTGCATTGTCTTGGTTCCCAGGACCCCCCTTAACAGAGCATCAGCCCCCAGCTGCTGCCCTTCCAGCAGGAAATGCTGGTACCTGTGGTCTTCTAGGTGTCTAGGATTACCCTAGGGCCACTGAAAATTCTTTCCACAGATTCACTAAGAGCCAGAATTGGGGGCAGTTTCTATTTTCTCTACTAAGCCTGGAGCCAGTGGCTGACAGGAATGTGAAAGCCAAGCTCTCTGGCCTGCAGCAGGGGAAACCCTGCTGCTCCAGACTCTACTCCTGACTCTAAAGATTGCTCCAGAGTCCCCAGCTTCCCCTTAAGCTACACCCTGGCATGGGTTCTCCCTTCCCAGTCCTGCCTCCCTACCCCCTCACCCAGTATTCCTTGGAGCATGGGCCTAATAAACTTCTTGCATGTGTGCATACCTTTATCTCAGGACCTGTTGGAACTTCACCTACAACAATGTGTGAAAGGTTGAAAATCCCTTTATAATCATTCATTCATTTATTCACTCAGTAAATACAGATTGAAGGCTTGTTACAAACAGTATGGTTGAGATCACTGAGGTACCAAATCAGAAACTGAGCCAGCTTGGGCTGCGGTTGTGGAGCCGTGGCAGCACGCTTGCCTAGCATGTGTGAGGCCCTGGGTTTGATTCTCAGCAACACATATAAACACATAAAATAAAGGTCCATTGACAACTAAAAAAAATCAGAAATAAAAGAAACTGAGCCAGCTCTTTCTAAATTTAAGAGTCTACCAGGGAGATAGGTCTTAATGAACTACTTTAAATTTTAAACACTGAATGTTTGAAAGAATTTCCCATCTGGTAAAAACACATGATAAAGAAATCTAGGTGAGAGGTGGGGGAATGAGGAGAATCCTGCCTCAGACACATACACACATATATGTTTTCTAAGTCCTGTGAGAATTTAAACCTTGCTCGTTTTAAACTAGGTGCAGTTGATTCCCATCTCAGTCTATGTGAGCACATGCCCCCCTGGTGGCAAAACCTGGTAACTACTGCCTGGTCCTTGGAGAGAGATTGGAAAGACAATCAAGAGGAAGCTAAAGTGGTTGAGGAAAAAAAAAAAAAAAGACAAAAGCAGGATGGGGAGTGCAAAGAATAGGCATGGATCAGAAAGCAACATGATGGGAGAGAGGCCAGGATCATGGCTCAGTGAAGCAGGTACTTGTAACTCTGATAGTTGTGGATCCAGAGGGGCCTCCAGTTTCCCTTTGCCAGAGCTTCCTGTTGATTTGAGAGAAGGCAGGGATAGGCAATCTCCTCTGAAGCCTAGGCTTCTCCTACTTATTCATCTCACCTGTACTTGAAGGTAAACAATTTCTGACAGATAGCATGTGGGAGCGAGAAGAAGGTAGCCATTATCCAGATCACAGTGATGTAGATGATACCCTTTGTGATAGAGATTCGGGGCTTTAAAGGATGCATAATGACCTGAAAAACAAGCAAACAGCATCACTAGCTAAACAAGTTTAAAGCGAATGAGACTCCAGATACTGCAGCTCGATTGTCACTAATATATGCCTTATTTATTAAGCAAGCACCCTTTATATTCATTGTTGAGACCCTGAGCTGTACCAGGTATCCCGGGTTGGGGGACGGGGACCATGCCCCACTCCATAGCCAACCTTCAGGAGTGTAAAAATGGTGCTTGGCAGTTCAAATGCTTCTTGCTGTAGAGATGGGACCAAGGAGGACTTGTGGAGGAGGTCTGCTTGCATAGCCCCAAAGCAAAGCTGGTAGAGGGACAAGCCCATGCTCAGTGCCTACGTCCTTGAGAGCTGACTTAATCTTCCCAGGATTCTAGACACCTTAGGTTATGCAGGGCTCTGAAAAGATCTGAAGCTGTTGTACCTCTCATGGAAAGCTGCATTGACACTTATTTGGGAGCTCACAACACTGTTTATGAAAGCTGCTAGCAAAATTGCAATGGGGCCCAGCATCCACACGCCTACAATAAAGCCAATGTTATAGGCTTCAGGGTGAAATGCACTTGAAATTGTTACTGTATGCCAATCAATTCTTGTAAAAGGCTTAAATAAAAGCTTGAAAATTTAAAAGCATCTTCATTTTAAGATGAGAATCGTTACTTCTTGGGAAAGGCACTGGGGATAGGTGAGTTCAGGGTCAGGGAGACAGAGATTATACAGAGTTACTGCTGTCTTAGGACACTATCCTGAAACACATGCAATGTTCTGGATGTTTCTCGGAATTTTTTTTCTTCCCATTTTTTTTTAAGATCTTATGGGAGGTTGTGATGAGTTCTCGGAAGCTTCCCAGAACATCTCCATTCTGGACTTGGCCATCTCTGTCCCTCCTACTCCTGTGTTCAGGTTTGCAGAAGGCAGTAGTAACCTGGGGAAAAGTCTCCAGACACTGCTCAGGGATTTCATTGGCATTGGGTCAAGACCCTATGTTTGAAAATATGGCAACATGGTCAACATAAGCAAGATTTAGCCCCTGTTCCTCAGCCCCACTCAACCCATGCACCAACTCTTAACTGTGTTAGACAGGAGTAATCATAGACCAAGCACAGGTAGCCCAGAGATCTTATTGAATAAAAGGAGATTAAGAAAAAACCAGAAAATATTTGTATGTAAATGCTCACACTTTGCTGTAATGTATTTATAGCATATATGAAGAGTTCATTCTTACAAAACAATAGCATTTCAAAAAAAAATTTTCAAAGTTTGGCTAGTCCAATTCCTTATCCCTTTGAAGACATTCTTATCAAGTTGTCATCCGGACTTTGCTTAGATATGGCTGGGAACATGGAATGCATTACCTCCCAGACAGCTTTGTCCACCTTTAGACATTTCATTAGAAAGTCATTCCTCACATTGGACTTCAGCTTTGAGCCTGCATCTTTGAAGCTCCTTATCCCTGGGTGCTACTCAGAATAAATCCCATTCCTCTTTGTCCTCTTTGTCCTGCTGGCCCTAAGGATACTTGTTTTTCAGGTTTCCTTGAGTCTTCTCACAGCAGAGTGGTCTAGTGATCACAGAATAGCATGGAGCCACATAGACCTTGGTCCTAGAGGCATTATTCATAGTCACATGATCTTGAAAAAGCTATCCATGCACTTTTCCAAGCCTTGGTTCTTTGATTCAGCATAGTCTAAACATACAACACAGACTCACTGAGTTAGCATAGGCAAGGCACCTGGCATGAAGCCATCCCCTTCCAGGATGGACACCCTCAGGTTCTCTGTGGGTTCCTACTACCATACCCACTCAGGGCTTCTAATGTCCTCACCCCAGGTGCTATCACCACCATGACACCTGCTCGTGCCATTGGATATCCTGGCTTGTTTTCCTCTTCAATAGTCTGGGCCAGTGAATACCCATCTCTTACTGAAGAGCCTATCTCCAACCTGCAATTATCTGTTGCTCTCTTTTCATCTGTAATTTTCCAGGTTTCCCTTTCTACCCCTAAAATGAGCTCATTGATTTCTGAGACAGAAAATGCCGCCACTGAACCTTCATCAGAACAACAAACTTTTTTTGAAACAACTAGGACAAAGTGTTTAAGATCCCTAATCTACATGCTTATCAATAAGAAAACATGCTCAATGAAATCTGGGCTAAAACCACTGTCTTGAGAGTATTTCCTGCAGACTCCAGGAAAGCAAAGCCTAAGAGGGAAGGACAGTGTTGGAGATAGGTGCCCTCACCTGGTGGCGGTCCACAGCAATGGCCGTCAGTGTCAGTGCTGAGACATGCAGGGAGCAGTACTGGGCAAAGCGGCTGACATGACACATGCCCTTCCCAAACACCCACGTGCTGTTCACAAAGCGGACCTAGAGACAAGCAAACAGAAGTTAAGAGAAAGACAATCTTTGATTCTGACACCCCCTTGACCTCTTGGGGGTCTCTAAGGAGCATACCCTTGAGAGGCCTCTCCCAGCTCCTCCTTTCTTTCCATATATGAGGCCAAATCGTGATTACATGTGATTTCCCCCAGCACAGCTCATTATCATTCATTCAGTTCAACAAACCCTGATCATGATCCTATGTCATCAGGACAGGAGATCTTAGGAAAGACAAGGGCTTTGGAGGTGGACTTCCTACCTCTAAGAGTTTATCACTGTCCAACCTTGGCAATATATGTAACCTCTGTTAACCTCAGTTTTGTCATTTGCAAAGGAGAAAAAAAAGGTATCACAATCTCTACCTTACAGGCTTAGTATGAAGTCTGTAAAGGATGAGAAGAAACTATCTGGCAGATTGTTAGAAAGCTATTAATAGAAAGAAGTGGTAGGTATTTCTATGTGTAATAATAGAATTCATTCTTTGCCCAACTAAGTTCAGTCTAGTGATTACATAACACAGCGTTTGGACTATACCAGAAATTTGGGATAAGCTGATCTTGTGACTTCTCATCTGGGAAGGAGAACCATGACGAGCTTGGAGTGGTATGAATCAGAGAGAGCTGTGGTGCCCTAGGAGAACCTAATCCTCCTACCATGACAGCCAGGGCTGTTTGCTCAATTAATACATGAGCAGCTCCTGGGGAGTATTGCTGCTTGCCCAAGAGGGACCAAGCATGATTTTGATCAAGGAGCTTCCAATCTGGGCAGGGGGGAACCAAATAACCTAAGTACAGGGCGGAAAGAAGTCAATGCCCTATAGAGGCCCAGACAAAAGGCAATTAGATCACCATGTAGGGGTGTGAGTGGACAGAGGAGAGACAGAGGTGATGGAGATAGAAACAGAGCAAGTCAGCCCCACAGAAAAGAGTACAGTGTAGAGATTTACAGCAGATTTTTTGGTCATCCTGGGAAAGACATTTGGACCCTCTAAGCCTCAATTTACTCATCTGCAAAATGGAGCTGCCTCTTTTTTAGAAGGTTGTTATGGAAATCAAACAGGATAGGGAGAGGAAGCATGGGAGGAATAGACAAACTCTAGATAGGGCAGAGGGGTTGGAGGGGTAGGGAGGGGACATGGGGTTATAAATGATGGTGGAATGTGATGACCATTATTATCCAAAGTACATGTATGAAGACACAAATGGTGTGAATATACTTTGTATACAACCAGAGATATGAAAAAATGTGCTCTATATATGTAATAAGAATTGTAATGCATTCTGCTGTCATATATAAATAATAATAATAATAATATTCATCATAAAAAAATCAAACAGGATGGACAACACACATCAAGTAGGCGCAACAGTGCCTAGAACCCAGCAAGTGGGTGACCCTATGCACTGCCACTGTGACTACATCAGAGACATCCAAAATGAGGAAGGACTTGCATGGGTGAAGATCAGACCAAAAGGCACTGATACTGGATCATATCGTGGCTGGGAATGAGGAGTGGACAAGTCTGACCTGATCGTGAAACCAGGACAGCAGACGGTGGGCTTTCCTCTTTTCAGGGTAGACAGGGAGGAACCATTGAGGCTTTTGAGCAGTCTAGCCACATTATAGAGCTAGCAATATTCACCCCTACACTTCTCACCTCCACACTGAGTGAATGACCAAATCCAAACCTTTAATGGTTTTCAAATACATTCCCTTGTCCTTCAGCCCTGAGGTCATGGCCCTGGTACAGCTTCCTCCCCACTCTTAGCTCTTATCTCTAGCAACTCAGCCTGCACACTGCGTTCATAGCTTCCCTAATAAAAAATCAGATTGCTGTTACCAACCTGTTGAGCATGGCCCACAGTTCTCAGGCCACAGCCAGATGCCTCATGAGTATCCAGGCCTGTTCAAACTTGGCCCTGGCCTTGCTTTCTGGTCCACCTCTGCCTCTCCAGCCCCAGGCCGTCCCTCCTCTCATCTCTGCTGCTCCAGCTACACTGAACCACTCGATGTTCCTCAATACACTGTGAACTTTGATGTCTCCTTGCCTTTGTCTCCCTGGTCCCTCTGTCAGCATTGACTGTTCAGCGTGACCTGGAAACTCCTACTCATCTAGGTCCCTTTGAAATGTCATGTTCTTTGCAAAGTCTCCTTTGACCCTCTCATGGGACTCTAGTGGGTGGGAGTGAAAGACTCCCCCCTCTAGGTTCCACTGCATTTTGTGTATGTCTCTACAATGGGAACTGTGAATAACTGTTTACTAATCTCTCAGTGGTCAGAGCTGGGCTTCTGATGACCGTAGTGAGTGAAGTAGATAGGAAGGGAGACATGGGAGGGAGGATACTCTCAACAACCAGCCAAAGCAGGATGCCTTGCCCTGCTGAGTAGACTAAGGGGTTAGAAGACCCTGCCCCCATACTCCTCTCTCTCCCTGATTACCATCACCTTATGACTTTAATAGGAATTTGGATTCAGCAGCTCTAAGGGTCAGGTTAAAGTCCAAGGTACTTTGGCTCATCCTGGATGGAGTGCAGGATTTTTAGCACCTTGACTTCCTCTCTTGCAGACCATGCTCTGGGGCAGGGGCTCCCAGCTCTCAGCTGTAGCTGGCCTTAAGTCCCTGGCCTTCTTGTCCCCCCATGTGTCTATAGCAGATTCAGCCCTATAGCCTGGCTCTGGGCAGTAGCACCAAGGCCAGGCCATGGAGACTTCCAGTTCCCACTGTGGATGACCCAGCCCATCTCAGCACTGCCCACTGTCAGGTCAGAAACCAAGGGAGGAGGGGTAGATGTGTGGTGCAGTGGTAGAGCATTTGGCTGGCAGGCAGCAGGTCCTGGGTTCAAACCCCAACACCATAAAACAAACAAAAACCAAGGAGAGAAAGAGATGTTGCTTTCTTGTGAATCAAGGCAACAGAAGCAGTGCTCTTTGTCCTTGAGTTAGTACCCAAAGAACCCTGAATGGGCATCAATAAGTTCTATATAGACCAGAATGAGAATAGGGAAAGTCCATAATTTGGAGCAGTGGAAGCAGAACATGGTCCTAGAGTGACCTCCATTCCTCTGGTGGTGTGGTGGACAGACATCTGGACTTGAAGTAGGGGATGTAATTCTTATCCTGGATCTGCATATTACTAGCCACACAGCCCTGAACAAGGGAACCTCTCTCTGCCTTAGTTTCCTTATCTGCCAAACGTGAGTGATATTCTCATAACAAACCAAGAGAAAGAGAATGTAAGAGTTCTCCGAGGATTTAAGATTTGGAGGGACATTCACATAGGTGCATGGACTTACAGGAGTCAGCCTCTTCTTTTTGTTTCCTGTCATTTCTGGGTGTCTGTGTGTGTGTTGAGAGAAAGAAAGGCAGAGGCAGGCATGAACAGATTCTGCTTTGACAGTAACTCAAATAAAAATAAAGTTATTCCATAAATTGAAAAAGATGTAACCCACGATATAGAAACACGCAGATTGCACAGTCACAGCCTTCATGATTCCAAATTATCCATGAGAACTGCACTTTTAGGTCATAAAAGGACAGAGATTACACCACTAATGTTGAGTGGCCAGGGCTTGGGGAGGAGGCCATGAACCACCTGTGTGCTGGGGAGCCAGCCAAGCCAGGTGGGGCCCATGTTCACTTCACCCTCATCTCTTCCCCAACACAGATCTCATACACCGCCTCACTGTCAATCAACAGAAGGGAAATGAAATAAGCAATCTAGGAAAATGCACCTCAGGTTCCATTAACATTTAACAATTGTGTGATATTTTAGTTGCAGCATAAAACAGCACCCCATTGATATGTAGGGGTAGACCTTTAATAGGGAGAGAGGAGGTGATCTAATAGTCTCTGCTAATATTTTAAGGGCTTGATTTATTGTTTGATAATCAAAAGGGTGCATGCATCCAATAAGATTAAACAGCAATGAGATTATCCAGCTGCAGACACTGCAACCATTGACCCAATGTCACCATCTGCAGAAACTCTGGTTTAGAAATTAATGATCAAAAGATGGGAGGGAGGGAATGAGGGAGAAAATGTGAGAGAAAGAGAGATGGAATGAGAGAGAAAATAGGAGAAAGGTAGGATTGACCGAAAACTAAGACCATAAGAAGAGAAGAAGGTGATAAAGGATGCAATAGAAACAGATAAGTAGAGAGAGAAATGAGAAACAGATTTCAGAGAGAGACAGCGACTGGTGGAAAGACTAAGAAAAATAGAGGAGGGTTGAAGCGTGATAAACTAGGGATAAATGACAAGAGAGACTAAAAGATGGAAGTCAGAAAGGCATAAGTACCAGAAATGAGGAGGTGGAAGAACCATAGGGGTGGAAAGATGGGGGTGGGGTGAAGAGGAGAGAAAGGGAGGGAGGCAATGACAGAAGGAGGGGAGAGAATTGAGAAATTAGATAGACAGATGAGAGGGAGACCAAGAAAGCCTGAAGCTGGGGAGCCAACGGAGCCAGGGACCTTACCAAAGTGAAGGGGGTGTTGAGCAGCGTGATCATTATATCTGCCACCGCCAGGTTGACGATGAAGAGGCTGGTGGCCGAGTGCATTCGCTGGTTCTTGAAGATGACATGACAAACCAGCACGTTGCCAAAGAGCGAGAAGATGATGATGAAGGAGTAAGCCATGATGAGCAGGGCTTTCACCGTGGGGTTCTGGGACTCGGCCCCGTAGCGCCTCCTGCCCACAAAGTTCTGCCAGTCGGAGAAGGTATAGTTGTTCCAGGAGAAGAAGTGCGAGGTGTTGGGCACCGCCAGGGCCGCCTCCAGGCTCTGCTCCTCCGCCCGACCCTCGGGGCGCTCAGTGGCTTGCACCAAGTGGAGAAGGAGGAGCAGCAAGAAGTGATGGACCATTTTCCCGGAGCCGCTGATTCCCTGGGAGCGCGCTGTCGGGACGTTTCTCCCGGACTCTGGATGCTGGGAGCCGAGAGCGCCCGGGCTGTGGCGCCAGGGAGCCCCGGACCGCCGGCGCCCCACTCGCAGCCGGACTCAGCCCGCTACCAGCCCTTGGTCGACAAGCTCGGGGCTTGTTTCAGCACTTTTATATCTGCTCCCCGCAGGCTGCCAGTGAGCGCCTCGCCTATTGGGCAGCGCAGCGACTCTTGCGCCGACCGTGACGCGCTCGGGCTCTGACAAGCCTCGCTCGCTCCACGGTGCCTGGCGGCGTGGCTGCTGTCCCCACGCCCAATCCACTCCCACTCCAGCACACAACTCCCGTGGCGCTGCAAAGTGCTTTCTCCAATGCACCTTGGCTCGATTTCTCCTAACCTCTAATGAAGAGGACAGGTGGAAGCAGTCCTTGGGGGCGAGTGGGGATTATGTGGGATCACACATTGCAAAACTTGGTCTGCCAGGGGGTCTCCTTCAGTGACGAGGATAAATTTCATTTGTTTCCATCTGTGCTGTAGTATTAGCACAGTTGCAATATTGAGATGGATCATTGAGTTCTGGTGGACTAAGGAACGAAGCAAACAATGAAACAGAGGCCTTAGAATTGCTCCAAGCTCTCAGAGCATCTGGATTATAGGCGTGCTGGAGGGCTTTTTAAGGACGTATTATTTCTTTGACAGCTCTCAGGAACGCAATGGGGGCGGGGGGACCTTTGTTTTTCAAAGAAACTCTTCAGAACAGTTTTCCTGATAGATCAAAGGAAACAAGAAGGTTAGCTATGTGCCCACTTACTGGGTAAGAGTGAGTTTTCTGTCCTGAAAGTTGCAGAAACTGTATCTGATAGGAATATAATGATCCATGTTGCTTTTTAGTTCCCCACCTACTTCTCCATCTTGCTCACCTGTTTACACTTCCATTGTGCAGCCACCCATCCCCTGCTACTGACCTTTCTGACCTTGTTCTTAAGACCAGGGGCTCTGAAATCAGGATCTAATCCCAGCTTTGTCACCCCCTCGCTGAGATATTAGGCAATTTATTTCACCTTTTTGGCCATGGTTACAGCTTTCTTTTCCTTTATGTGAGGTTTTCAGAGAACCCTGTACAGATCTCTCACCACACTACATTCTGTTACAAGAGATGCAAGATAGTTGACTACTTATAACTATGCCCTCAACTCCCCATTCTAATGGTAAACCTGGTGTAGACTTTCTAGTGTGTTCATCTACCCCTGCTGAGCAGTGCTCTTGAGTTGAGGCCTGAACAAAGTACTCAAACCCAGATAACTTCTGAGCTATCCTCTTGGCCCTGGGGAAAGCCTGCTCCTTTCTCCCAACCAAAGCCTGGAGAACAGGACCTTCCCACCAATGTCCTCTTTTCTCACTGAACCAGCGGGAAAGCTCCAGTTACTTGCCACTTTGGAACTTTTCCAGGAACATTAGACTTCAGCTTCAATACTCCCTCGAACTCCAGGGACACAGCCCAGACTCTCCTGTTGATAAACAATCAGAAAATAAGTCAATAAGTGTCACCCTAGTAAAATACAAGGTGCACTTATCCTGGTTGGAGTCAGGGAAGTCTTATCAAGTGCAACTGAATCCTGAAAGAACAGCGGGAGACAGGTCATGGAAAAGGAGTCCTCAGTAAAGGAGTCGTAGTGCATTTGCAGACATGGAAGTCAGTCGTGTTGCAGGGAGGTGAGGGGAGAGTGAGCTGGAGAGGTAGGCAGGGACTGGAGCATGAGGGTCTTTAGTCATGCTAAGAATTTGAAAGATTTCTGGGGATGCATGAAAAGACTATAGGTAGAGACTGATAGGATCAGGTTTGCCTTTTAGAAAGAACAGTCCAGCATATGAGTGGAAAATAGAGAGGCTGTGGCTTGAAACAGGTTTGAAGGCTGTTCAAGTAACCCAGGGGTAGAGGTGAGACCTAAGTCAAGCTGGGTGGGGGGAGGAGCAAATGTGACAGAGGTTGGAGGGAAAAATCAGGATGAATGCCCAGTTTTAAGTTTGGTTAAAATCAAACACAAAAAGCATGAAAGGTCTTTCTTTGGCCTCAATCTCTTCCAGAAATTTTAGGCTTTCTTCACTGTTTTATCAGTAAGTTCCTAGAAATCCCCTTTACCTCCAGTTTCTTGCCTTATATTCACCCTCCAAGCCACTTTTTTGAAGTGTTCCTCAATTCTGTTGATGGGCCTGGCAGGTCACACAGGATTATGTGTTGGAATAGAGGATTATGGACTGATCCCAGGAGAAAGGACAGGGTGTCAGGCTGATGAAATAACAGGTATATAGATTAAAAAAAAAAAATTCAGGAGACTTCCTATAAACATGTAATCTAAGAGCTTGAATAGACTTGGTGCCCCATCAAGATGACTTGGAAACATTTCAGGGTGGTAAGGCTGGTATGTGGTGGTCATTTAGAAACAGAATCCTAATGAGTAGAAGAGGGCCAAAGAGCAACAAGCATAGAAAAAGATCAAAGGTAGACTAAGTGCCCTGCCGAACACTCCCTTCCAATCATCCTCCTCTAATCCATAGCAGGCATATTCTTAATCTGAGCCACGTTAACTAGTGCCTTTGCTTTGATTCCTTGCTTAGCCTGTCTACCTTTTAGGTATGAGGGCATTTGTGCCAGGTGCCTGGAATTGTCCCTCTGAAAGACAAGAGGAGGTATTCAAGAGTTTATTTGGGAGGTGAAGGTAAACACCAGCAGGGAATGGGGAAGTGAGATAAGGAAGGAAAGGAACGACAATGCACTCTTGACTGGCCACCTTTCCTTCCTTATCTCACTTGAATCAAAGTGTGAAATATGATATATCAAGAAACATGTAATGTTTTGAACAACCAACAATAAAAAATTTTAAAAAAAGAGGAAAGGGAGACTAGGAAAAAGCAATAGTCTAAATTACTGGTATTTGCTTGTTGGCTTAACATACCCACAAATTCTCCCATTTAAAGGAAAAGTGGAAAAAAAAAAAAAAGAGTGCATTGTCAAGCCAGCTACCACTGTGAGTGACTGGAGCTTAGCCACCTGTAAAGTCAATATTAAGCACAGATGTCAGCTACCCAAGCCAAAGGGTAAAGGAACTGGGATGCCCATACACCAACTCCTGTCACTCATCAAAGTTTTCTCCCAAGGGGTGTATTAATGCTCCAGAATCGGCCTGCTAAGTAGGCAGTGGAATTAGGCACAAAAGAAAATAGAATTGATGTGCTCTAAAGGGGTGGGGCACTCAGAATATCCAATGGCAGGCACGGAGTCTGTAATCACTTCCTTTTCCTCTTCCCCAGACATTCAGTTCTCCATTCAGCCAGGTTTGGCCTCCCGACCTCAACTGGATTTCTACTCAGCATCATTGTCCCAGCTTACCTTGAATTTCTGGAACAACCCATTCACTAATAAGCAAGAACATCCTTCATGTTACCCCACACTAAGGTTAAGTTATTAGACGTTCTTTCCTCAGGGGCTTTATCTGTCCTGTAAATTACTGTTGCTCTAAGGAGTTATGGGAGGACACAAGCTGCTCTTATGGGGTAAACCAATTCCTTTTGTACATTCTGAGTAAAAATGAGGACACTGTGTATAGTCAGTGTGTGCCACATACTAATTAGATTTCTACATCTCCAATAATAGTTCCATGTATTAAACATACCAAAGAGAGTTTACTGTTTAACTCTCTCAAATGGCCTTGAAGAAAAGGAAGATGGGAACAAAGGAAGAAAAACACTTCATAAGTATTTTAACAAAAGTGAGACAGAGAATTACAGAGCAATAATTTCACACAGAGGCCTTAGAAAGAGGCATTTCTGAGCTCTTCGCCACATCAAGATTCTGGATGCTGCAAACAATGTTGCTTTGACACCAACATTGTTTTCTAAAAAGCTTCTACTTGAGTTAGAAACTCTCCACACTCACAATTCCCTCTGGCACCAATCACAGCAGCAGAAGGGAAAGAATTGCAAATAGCATGGTGACATGACAGTCACTTGAAGCTTGTTTAAATTGCACATGTTGGATATTGACATACTTGAATTACAAAAGAACCAAGTAGGCCTGAAATAGCAAATATTGCTGAAGATTTACACAAATGCAGTAACAACACAAAAGGTATGGGTGGGCTAAGCCAGCAATTGCTTTCCAAGTCTGATACACTGGAGCCATCGAGTAAGAAGATATATTTAGAATAAGGGAAAGAAGAATACCAATGCTCCAAATTACAGTTTGTGACCCAAATTAAATTGCAAGTTGCTTTAACTTACCCTGCACTTTTACATAGAAATTTTTCATAAATAGTGATTTGGGTCTTGGGCCACCTAGTACCAATATGTTTAACCCATGTCATAGTATTAGTTGTACTCCAAGAAGGATAGGTAGTTTCCAGAATGGCATTCTCCATGATTTTGCTCATTTTGAACCAAATGTCCTTGTGAACGTTCCCAACCATATCCACAAGTTTAACTTTCCATCACTCATCACCAAGATCTGTGTCTCTACTCACCACCTTTGTCAAGAGTTTCAGACCTGTATCACATATTCACTGTTGGCTGAATATTTTTACCTAGAATACTCCCGCACACTTCAAATTCAGCAAGCTCCAAAGTGAATTCATAGCCCATTCTCCCCCCACTTTCTTATACTTGTTCCCTTTTCTGTTCACTGTCCACCATGGTTAGAATCCTGGGGTCACCAATTTCACAATGGTATGTGTTTGAGAATGTTATTTCTCTACCTGCAAGCATTGTCTCAGCCATCCTAAGGCCAGAAAAACTCCTCTCTTCTTCAAGATCCAGTTCAAATATTGCCACTCCTCTGAAAACTCACTGATGCCTCACTTGACTGCCAAAGTCCCAGGACAAGCAAGGTCAGGTCCCAAATCTACTCTTTTTTTGTGTGTGTGTTGGCAGGGGTGGGGGAGGGGGGGTGGGTACCAGGGATTGAATTCAGGGATTGTATTCAATCATAGAGTCACATCCCCAGCCCTGTTTTGTATTTTATTTAGAGACAGGGTCTCATTGAGTTGCTTAGCACCTTGCCATTGCTGAGGCTGGCTTTGAATTCATGATCCTCCTGTCTCAGCCTCCCAAGCCTCTGGGATTACAGGCGTGCACCAC